CACCATACACGATAATGATATAGCAACAATAACAGCCAGACTTTTTACTGTTATATTATGTTGAACAGCTAAACAGTACGCTATCATTGCAATACGGACACATGATACTAATATAATAAATATGAATTGTAATTTAAAACGTAATCTGGGACGTGCACGATAACAAACAGGGACACACGCCTATGGGAATTATGAATAGAGAAGGTACAACGATGGATAAGATTATTGTTTGAATTGCACCAATAAAAAAGAGTGTAACAGTAATAATCATATTCATAAAACCGATTGTTTCCAACTGATTATTGTCTGGATGTTCACCTTTGAAAAATAGATCTTGATGACTCATACTAATAAGCATGAATAATGTTATAGTTAACACTGTTTCAAATATGACAATTAGACCATGAAAATAAACACGTGAACGATAAAAACAAGAATTAGAACACATTTTTTTCCTATTCTAACGATTGAAATCTACAAGATTTTACTCTGTCTCTTTACAACAATAAATGGGTTATCGATTGATTCATGAATAGAAAGAGAACGAAACCCTTTTATTATCAGAGTAAAAGAAATACATTATTTGCCATAGATAAAGTATTCGTTTTCTACGAAAAACAATAGTGTTTATATGACTTTTCTCAATTCCAATTAAACAAAGTATCTGTCTATGATCAGCAGTGGATATTTTTGATACTATTCCTAAGACAGATTCAAGGGTACTAGTAGTATTGTTGAGATCATGCAGATATCATCAGATTCCGCATCCTCATCTTGAGTAACTGCATTTATTTATCAAGTCATAAAAGGCTAAATCGATCGTAATATTCAAAATTATCTGACATGAGAGAAATATTTGTCTTTCTTGGATTCTTCTGTTATTTTCTCTATTCAACTATATGTCTGTGAAATATAATCAAAAACAAATATTTATTCACTTCAAAATACCTTTACGAGATAAAGACTTTTGCTGACTTACACATTTTTACAATCTCTTTTATTTATTGTATATATAGAAATGGCTGAATGTGAGCATTTACGCGTTGGTCGAGAATTTTTAGAAAGTGTTTCATGGCCTTCCGCATTTCGTCAAGAAGCTCATGATCGATGTTATTGTGAACGATGTTATCCGCCGCATTTGGGAGATACAATGAATGTAGCTAATTAAACATATGTCATACCACGTGCATGGACTCGGTTTGCTATATCGGTTGATGAAGGCTTTTTCAACCATC